TAACAATATATATCGTATCGAAATTTTTTACCACAAGCAAACAAAACACGAATGACTTGACATCTCAGCGCTTAAAGCGAAGCAGTAACAAAATATATATTAATAAAATAGGAAAATAGGTACAGGGTCAAAAACACGTTCACGAAAGACGACAGATGTTCGCTCCGAGTATTTCCGATGGTTCATTCAGTCAGTTCAGCGGCAGCGAGTGAGCGGCTTAGCATTAAATTTAGCACTTCGCCTTCGGCACTTCGGCAGCTGCATTCTCTTTGGCAGCGTTCGCGAATCGCGTCTTGCCGTTACGCTTACGTCAAACAAAACAATCCATATCAACGACAATTTGACAGTTTGACAGCAAGTAATAAAGTCACATGTCACAAGATTAAGACCATAGAGTTAAATCTCAGACAAAAAGTAAAACCCTTAGTCTATGAGTTAAATACTGATCACAAACAAAGAAATGAACTAAACAATCGAAAATTAGTAAATAAATTATGTTAAGATTCATTAATATTATGATTTAATTTAATTATTTAATTTATATAACTACATAAATATTTACAACTTAAAATTAAAGACATCGCCCGTAGGGTAATCGACTCTACACGTGACCAGAGGGCTGGCTTTTTCTTCGGACAGAAAATAAGCATTGCCATTCAACGTGGCAATGCTGCCAGTCTTCTGGGAACTTTCCCCTGTGATAGTGATGCGGACGAATACTTTGACGCCTAAATTAAGGGTATAATTTTTGTTGTTTTCTTTTTATTTAACTCGTCGAGTACCGGTTTTATAGACACAATTAAAGAACAATAGGTCGCGGTCACCGGTGACCGCTTGGCGTTTGACAGTTTAATAGTTTAGTTGTAGTTAATTTTAAGTTGTAAATATTTATGTAGTTATATAAATTATGATATTTAAATAAAAATATTATGGGACTTTTTTCGTTGTGATGCTATGTTGTGATGTGTTCTGTGAATGCCTGTGATGTATTATTTAATTTGTATTTTTATTGTGTAATAGAACTGTCTTCTTTGTGATTGACCATAAACAAACATATAAAAATAAAACGAACGACGGCGGTGGAAAAAGGCGGGAAAACGAATGGGATTTTGAACGGATGGTGGGACTATTGATGAGAGGAGATGTAATATTTGTTTCTTTGTTATAAATGTGCTTTGGAAGAAAATAATATTTTGTATTATCGATACCAAGTTGTTTCCTTTATAATCTTCGTTACTGGCCTTCATATTCTGCAAGTTGTTGATGCTACAGTGAAGTTGCGTTTATAATTATAACTTATGTGTGATAAATAGATTATATCAAGTATCAATTCATTGATATTAGGTATATTATAGTATTCGGCCTACCGAATATTAAAAATAGTGCCTGATAGTGTAATATTCGTTGTATTTCTAAAAACAAGGGCGCGAAACCTAATCTGGGTATAGATGGGCGATTTTTCGGATAAATACCTACTGACTGAATAAGTACTGGATACATGTCCAATTTCGGATAAATAGTCGAATAAAAGCGAATAAATATTCAGTTTTTTTTAAAGGGGGGAAAAAATCATCGAGTGACTGCTCCCGCCTGGGTGAGGCGGGAGGGACTGTCAGACTCTTACTGACTACAAACCACCCCGCTCCTTTTGCACGTCAAGCCGGAGCCCCGGTTACCCGTTAGGTCTCCGCGACAAATATTCAGTATTAGCTGGATATTCTTCCGAAAAATCGCCTATTTATCTTATAAAATTAATATAAAATTATAAAAATGAAACCCGTTTCCCGTTGTCACGCCATGACTGGAGAACGGCTCGACCGATTTGGCTGATCCTTTTTTGTTGTGTTTGTTATTTTCAGAAGGTTCTTACGACAGAAATGGAAACGGAAGAAAACGGGATTGCGCGTACGAAGTCGCGGGCAGAAGCTAGTTAACTTATAAATTTCCAATCCCCAAAAGGCTGGTAACACACTTTTTTTTTTGTAACACACTTGTAACGCCTCTGGTGTTCCAGGTGTCCATGGGCGATGTCGATTGCTTACCATCAAGTGATCAGTCTGCTCGTTTCCTGACTTATCCCATAAAAAAGAAAAAGAACCTGGGTGGTAAATGACAACAAAATCTGGTTTTAAAACAATTGCTTTTTTATTCACCAAAATACTACTAAAGAAACATATAAAACTAAAATATCAGATCATTAACATAATGGGATATTTTGGACGGAATTATATAATACCGTAATTAATTAAAACATAATTATTGCGAATTTTACGTAAAAATTAAATAATATAAATACATAATTTCAAGTTCTGATGTTATTTTTATAAGTTCATCAATTTAATTTATCTATAAAGAAAAACGACTGTCCCTACGCATGCAGAATACAGATAAAATATAACATTTATCTCAACAATTCAAAAGTAACAATAATAGTAAATTTGATTTTATCCTCACTACCGACTAAAAGGGTACTACTTGATAAGTAGTTATGTTGAAACTAAAGTTAAGACCAGAATTTGGACGGCCGGAGTACACATAAGACTACATTATCATATCATTATTCATAATAATCATAGTCCCACTGTAACTCAACACTACCAGATACTTTATACAGATAAATTATTATTTTACGTTCATAACATTAATGTATTTAATTTGCGGAGATTTTTAACAATTCCAAATAGGCAGCCCAAATTAAATGATGTACATAATAAGGGGTGAAATACAATTAAATCCATATCAAAAAGGTTAATGGCTTTTAGGACGGTAAGGCACGAATTTGGATTAAAAAGGTAAGGCACGATTCTCACAATCGGTTTTAAAAAGCAGTAAGTATAATTATAAAAGATAAAACAACAGGTTTATAAATGTGATGTCCGCAAAAAGCCTGGTGGGTTTTCATGTATATTTACACATACCTATGTATCTTTCCTTACAATCGAAATTAATATCTAAAATATTAATGTTAAAATATTAAATTGCATGTCAATATACAACAAGCTGTATAATAATGTAACAAATTCAAAAAAAATCTTAATTTACAACACTTTGTGCTGATTTATGTACACATATGCACTTTATACACAATAAAATATTCAATTAAGAACTTTGTTCAAACTAAATATACAGATGATTGCAATGTCTAATAAAATTGTATATAAAAATATTTAAATGTAAAACAAAATACGTAGCTATATCAGCTGGTGATATGTGGAATATATTTTACGACTGTGCATCGACTTACAAATTCTACCTTAATTATATTTGTATGCACACTTAGTGGGAAATCAGGTTACATGTAAAAATGTAATAATATTTTCATATTTATAACAGTTGACAAATTTATTCTGTGTCAATAAACACATTGTAAGCATTTCATATCCTTTCTAATTTATAAATAAATTCATATTTTTACATGTAACCGCAAATAACGCTATTAAAACAGTAAAAAGGTACCTATTTGTATTAACATACATATTTATAAAAATCCTACACTTATGTGTCTTATATCAGTGTCTTCCTAAGTCAATCTACAGAGTAAAATAATGTTTTAATAAATTAACACCTTGCCCCTTCAGTCAAAATTAAAAAGTAGATCGAGTTATATAGTCTATCGGAGTTGTAAGAAATACCTACTACTTTAATATGACCCTTTTATTGTCACAGAAATAATGACAGAGATGGCTTCATACAGGGTGCAATGCGATCTACCATTTTTCTGTTCATCACATGACGATTATTTAGGAAAATGTATTTTAGTCCAATTACTGCAGCTGCTAAATATTGAACTCTCAATGGGTAATGTATTGACGAGACACGCACACTTGCTCCACCTAGTGAGCAAAAATTCAGTAGCGCCCAAATGAAATTAGGCGACGATTTTTTGTAATTATTAGTCTACTAACGATACTTATTATATTAGACAACTTAAACTGTCAAACACCAAGCGGTCACCGGTGACCGCGACCTATTGTTCTTTAATTGTGTCTATAAAACCGGTACTCAACGAGTTAAAAAATATATAACTACTCTATGCAATTCACAAAAAAAATATTGTATAGTATTATGTTTATTTGATATCAACGAGATACGATGTATTTTGTTCATTACGTTTAAGTGTTTAATAGCATTAATATCCCTGTAATAATATGACTAACTGCATTATGAAGGGTTTTATGTTACGTATTTAAGTTCTTGATTTGCATTTTATTATCTAGTACGCAATTAGTACCGTTAGTAGAGCCTACAAAAAATGATCAGCGATATCCATTGCACCCTATTATTAATGTTTGTACATGGAATGTTATCAAAATCTTGTCTGAAGAAGCGAGTACTCTTTACCAAATATCATTTATGTAGGTACGATGAACAATTTTATGAGTAGGCCGCAGGTTTGTAATAAGTAAAGTATTTCCTTGTTGTCATTAGGTACAGTCAGTATAAAGGCTTATCTTCATATTTCATCTGAATGTCATAATAGGGTATATGACAAATTTTTATATTAATGTCCGTCTGGTAGATTATTTAATATCATTAGACACATATTTTTTCTTTCTTACGGACACAGATACTTTCTACAATACGATACGTTTTATACTCAAAAATGACGTAGTTAGCTCCCACTCCAAAACTATTCGTTTTATTTAAGTATGACAAAAAATACGTGTCTAATATTTATTCATTACCTAACTGACGGACTAATTATAATTTTAATTTTCATACCCTGTCATCATCCCTATTAAGATTGACCAGTCAGCATTCAAGATGGCTTTGCCTAATATAAGCATACTTGGACATCAATATTATTATTTTTGAAGTCCTAAAGATGAGTTCTAGTTCTATATCGATTTAAAATCCAGTTTTTGGGCTTGGATAACCATCTACACATATATTTAAACTGTCAAACACCGCGAGGACACCGGTGAACGCAACCTATTGTTCTTTAATTGTGTCTATAATGACGGTACTCAAAGGGTTAATGGTCATAAACGGGAAATTGTTCACACTTCAGTACTGTGTGTTTGAATGCGCACTTTTTTCTGACTTCCATTGCGGTTTAAGGGGGGCGAGTGGCCTGAATAGCCCGGGTTTTGTATGCCCAGGCCACCGGGTTCACCTTCTCTTGGCCGTGGCTTCTTGAGGGACGACCGTAGTGGAGACCTGGTGATTGTACTGGCATCCGACATGCCCGTTAGCGTGGTAGCCGTAGTATTCATCGACGCCACGCTTCCGTGACCATTTGTGCTGTACGGCTTCCCCGACGCATCAGTCATTGAGATTCCTGCAAATAATAATTGTGTGATTTATTAATTAGAATAATTTAATAGTGTTCATTCTGAAAAGGTAGTTTCTATTAATTTTCTTCCAATGTTTTTTTAAATTTTTTTCAATGCCCATCTGACAGATCAGTTATATCAAATCATACATTTTATCTATACTAATTTAATAATGCTGCCTGCCTCGTTGGCCGAGTGGTTGCAAGTGCGACTGCCGGGCAAGGGGTCTCTGATTCGATTCCCGGGTCGGGCAAAGAACTATGGGTTTTAAAAAAATCTCAGTACCTAGTAGCACGGAGCCTGGAAATGTGTTAGGTATAGTGCAATAGGCTCACCCTTACACAGGACTCATAATATTAAATAGTGAAAAGTGGGTGTTACCTCTGTGATGTTATGTTATGTAATGTTATAATGTTGAGCTGAGAAGTTAGTTTGTTACAACGCAATAATCTCCAGAACTACTAGTTCGAATATGATAATTCTTTCGTGTATTGTATTTGCATTGCTCATTTAAAAAGAAGATCGAATTGAAAGTGATGTCCTATAGTTTTCATTTTGGGGCGGAGCAGCGAGTGTAACCGCGTGGAAGTAGATGGCTAATGTCGGAATACTGAAACGCTACTCAATTTTAAGTCGCGCTTAAGTATAGTTCTCTCTCCACAAATTCTTTGTAAAATGACAGAGATGGCACGATATTTGAGCACGACTTAAAATTGAGTAACGTTTCAGTATTCCGGCATAAAATTTATAAAAGCATAACTTAAATGTTTTTTACAATTACCTCTTCCTTCTTTGAATCCAGGGTTATTGATGGTGGTGCCTTCAGGCTCCCCTAGAGGATTAGTCGGGTCACCGCCAGCCCGTCGGGAGAACAGCGCGTCGTACAGCGACATTATAAACAGTATCGAGTTGATCACTATACTTACTATCTGCAAATCAAAAATGTATTTGTTTAATTAATTTACAATGATAAATAAACTATAAGTACAATTTTATAAAGCAATTATTATACTTTAATGCAATCGGTTTTTAAGGGCAAACGAGCAAACGGATCATTTTATAAACAACTCCAGGGTTATGAATGCTTTGCTGTTCTTTTGGTGGTTAGGGAAGACATTGACAAATTGTAGGCTTTACAGATTTGTATCCTTTAGTCCTAAGCTAAGCATAAACTTTTGTTATCGGTGCCAGGGCCCACATCCTCTTTAGTCAAACTACATAACTATGAACCACTGAGATTCTGATAAACTAAGAGTCGATTTTTCAATCATCAGTTAATACTTAACTGTAGAATAAAATTGACATTTGACAGTTTTTAGTATGGAAGAATTGAAAAATATTGAAATTTATTCCTCAGTTAAAATTTATCTGAGCATTGAAAATTTGGCCCTATTGGCTATGTGCGCGACTGTGGCGACGCGTAGCGTTTACAACATTTGCGGAAGCTGTCAAATAATAACAATACGTTACAATTTTCTTTGCAAATATAAATAAAACCAAAGATTAAAATAGTATTGTTGACATTATTTAAGTGCAATTTATTCAATAGTTTTACTGTAATATCAAAAACCGTGTTTGCATCATCCGCATTTGTTTCCAATTCCTGCCGTGTTGTGCGCTGCGGTCGCTTTGCACATAGCCAATATATGGAAGAAAAAAACTTGTTTTTACACACAACTACTAAATGTGATGGGAGAGCCATGCTTTGGTACGAATAGGCTGACTCGGCCAGTGATACCACACAGCCTCACAGAAAACCGGCGCAAAATTAAATCAGAGGCCATAGTACAAGTGTGTTTTACGTTTAAAGTAATCGTTAAGAGTATACGCTCTGATTGGTTGCTTCATTAGCGCCCGCCAATCACAGGGCCGAACGCGTACTCGTTTCGAATACTTTAAACGTAAATCAAACTCGTACTAAAGCCTCTGTGTTGTGTTGTCACCACCACTTGCCGATTGCTTACCATCAGTTGATCCGTCAGCTCATTTGCCGGCTCAATCCTTTAAAAAATGTTATGAAGTAAATATATATATTACCTGCACATAGAAAGCTTCACCCCTCGTCACGAAGAAGCCCCTGTCATCGCCTTGCACGGCGAACAAACTTGCTGCCACAATGGACAGCAGCGCTGGAAACAATACACATTGTTATCAATACATTAACTTGAACAAGTTAGGTATGACATGTACGCTGTTACGTTACTTAGTTTTGACTAAGTATACATATAGTAGAATGGTCGTATCGCATGCAAGACTGTCTAGCAAGGGCCTTCGGTTATGGAGACCGGCAATAGGGTAGATGCATAATTTTTATTTGAATGTCCGTCTGGTAGATTATTTGAAATCATTACACACGTATTTTTTATTTTCTTACAGAAACGAATACTTCCGACGATATATTGATTTGAAATGTCGCGTGACGTCCCTTCTATGTACATTTTATACGTAGAAATAACGTTTTATCTAAGTATTGTTTTATTATCCAAAAAAAAAAATACAAAAAATACATGTCTAATATCTTTTCATTACCTAACTTCAGACTAATAAGATTTTTAATTTTCATACCCTGTCATCATTCCAATTATTGAGATTTTACATGGCTTGTGATATTCTCAGCATTATTTGAAAAGAACTCTGGTGTCTTCCCCTGTTTTTAAAAGTGTCATCTTCTTTTTCACCAGTTATGATACCTAAAATGCAGTAGGGGCGAACCTAATGCCATGTTCTGGGTGTTTCTATGTAACTGACTAACGGGGCAGCCTACAACTGAAGCCTCATATCCCTAACACCCAAAGGATAGCGACGCACTTGTAAATGCTCCGATATTGCAGTACTGGTATGCTCGTTTGCCATAATTCATTCTGTCTCCTGCAGTAATTTACCGAGGGAAGTGGACACTATAGTTTTTTTTCTTCTCCTCTTATAATATCTTCTGATTCACTTCGTTGCGGGAACCAAGACAGTTACTCATGTCCCTGGGACGCGCCGGACTTCAATGTTCCGGTGTTTTCATGGTTGTATCTACTGTAGATCCTGGCTTACAGGAGTTGCAGCGGTTTTGAGAGGTTGTAGCGGGCTTGTCCCATAAAAAAAATGCTCGTTTGCCATGCAAAAATAGTTCTTAAATACTTACTGGCTAAAAGCGCCAGCGCCAATTTCATCATGACGAGATGAGTGTATTTGAAGGCGACGCGTTCCTTCGACGATATCATGGCGAGTTGCAGTACTGAGAGCACGCAGAACACGCCAAGAACGGACACGCCGACCGACGCCACCACGCCCGCTATGTATACCGCCGCTGAAACACAAAAAAACTTCGTTAACACCATTACACTTATGGTTCCATTCTTGACGTGTAAGTTCCATAAAAATAAACCTCATTAAAATAATCAGCGAATAAAACCGTTCCCCTTCTCTTCATCATCATCATCAACAGCCGGAAGACGTCCACTGCTGGACAAAGGCCTCCCCCTTAGCCCTCCACGTCGAACGACAACTCGCCACCCGCATCCACTGGCTCCCCGCAACTCTGGCGATGTCGTCGGTCCACCTAGCGGGAGGTCTGCCCACGCTTCGTCTTCCGGTCCGTGGTCTCCACTCAAGGACTTTCCTGGCCCATCTGCCGTCAGTCCTTCGAGCGACGTGGCCTGCCCATTGCCACTTCAGTCTGCAGATTTTGCGAGCTATGTCGGTAACTCTTGTTCTTTGGCGAATCTCCATATTTCGGACTTTGTCGCGCAAAGAAACCCCGAGCATAGCTCTCTCCATCGCACGCTGAGCGACTTTGAGCTTCTCCAGAAGGCCAGAGGTCAGGGACCACGTCTCGGTACCATACGTCATCACCGGCAACACACACTGGTTGAACATCCTGGTCTTTAGGCACTGAGGGATTTTCGATGAGAAGATTTCGCGTAACTTCCCGAACGCTGCCCATCCAAGTTGGATTCTTCGGGCGACCTCTTTGTCGAAATTGGACCTACCTAGCTGTATAATCTGCCCTAAGTATGTGTAGTGGTCTACAACTTCGAGGATATCGTTCCCAACGATGACCGGTACAGGTGCAACATGGACGTTTGACATGATTTTGGTCTTGTCCATGTTCATTTTAAGACCCACCTGTTGGGAGACGATATCGAGGTCGCTGAGCATGGTGTTTAAATCCTCCAGCGACTCCGCCATGATGACTACATCATCGGCGAAGCGGAGGTGTGTGATGTATTCGCCATTGATATTGATGCCCAGTCCACTCCAGTTTAAAAGCTTGAAAACGTCCTCCAATGCGTTGGTGAACAGTTTCGGAGAAATCACGTCTCCCTGTCTCACGCCTTTCTGCAGTTGGATTGGTTCCGTGCTATCTTCCTGGAGTCGGATGCGCATGGTGGCGTTTCTATACAAACACTTTAGCACCTCGATATATCTGTAGTCGATATGGCATCGCTGGAGAGACTGCAGCACCGCCCAGGTCTCGATCGAATCAAAGGCTTTTTCATAGTCCACAAACGCCAAGCATAGTGGCAAGTTATACTCCTTCTGTATAACTTGCCGCAGCGTATGAATGTGGTCTATGGTGCTAAAGCCTTTCCGGAACCCGGCTTGTTCGGGAGGCTGGAAGTCATCAAACCTGCGTTCCAGACGGTTCGTGATAACCCTAGAAAACAGCTTATACACATGGCTCAGAAGCGAGATGGGTCTATAGTTCTTCAACAAAGAGTTGTCACCCTTCTTGAAGAACAGAACCACTACACTCCTTTGCCATGCTTTCGGCGTAGTTCCTTCGAGAATGACGGAATTGAATAGTTTCTGGAGGACTAAAAGTATCGGTTTTCCACCCGCTCGCAGAAGTTCTGTTGTGATTCCGTCATCACCCGGTGCCTTGTTATTTTTGAGCTGTCTGAGAGCCATCCTAATCTCATACAGGCTGATGTCTGGGATATCCTCGGTGTAGTGCCGTGTCAGTTTAGCTCTAGGATCCCGAGCTGTACCGACAATGGGTTGCCGTGTCGAGGTGTATAACTGTCCGTAGAACCTTTCAAGCTCTCTCAGAATCTCTGGTTTCGACGAAACGATGCTGCCATTTTCGGTCTTCAGTTTCGTCATTTGGCTTTGCCCAACAGACGAATTCCTTGCGAATACTTTTGCGCCCTGATTTCGCTCTATGGCATCCCTGACTCGTGCGGCGTTATATGCACGCAGGTCGCGTCGCATAGACTTTGAAATTCGCCTATTAAGTTTGCCATATCCAGACATGTCAACTGAAGACTGCAGCCTCATCTCGTGTCGGTCTTTCAATAATTTAAGTGTTTCTTTCGAGAGCTTTTGAGGTCTATTTCGGCGTGGGTTTTTGAAAAACTCTGAGCCCACCGTTTGGACAGTTTCCACTAACCCATTATTTAACTCGTCAATCGTTTCACACTCAGCCAGGCACTGGAAGCGATTATGCAGTTGGAGCTGGAACTGTTCGGGGTTCTGGACCTGGGCGCGACCAGGACGGAGTGTGGACCTCACCAGGCGTGACCTCTCCAGCTTGACATTGATATTCAGTGTGCCTCTGACAATACGGTGATCGCTGCCGGTTTTCACCTTAGCTATCACAGAGACATCACTGAACATGCGCTTGTCGGTCGCCATGATGAAGTCGATCTCATTTTTGGTGTAACCATCGGGACTTATCCACGTCCACCTCTTAGCTGGTCGCTTTCGGAAGAAGGAGTTCATTAAAAAGAGTCTCTCCCTCTCCATAAAGTCGACCAGCCGCTGGCCCCGACGGTTTCGCTGCCCATACCCAAATGGCCCCATTCTCAGCTCTTCGCCGTTCCGTGTGCCCACCTTCGCGTTGAAATCCCCCATGACAACGGTGAAGTGAGCTTCGGAGGTGTGTATGGCTTGGGAAATTTCCTCATACAGAGCCTCTACTTCATCATCGCAGTGTGTCGAGGTCGGCGCATATACCTGTATGACCTTCAGCGAATACCGGTGTGATATTCTGAGTATAAGGTACGCTACCCTGCTCGACACACTGTCAACTTTACTCACGTTGTTGACGAGGGACTTGCGGACGAGAAATCCGACACCACCCTGGGATTTTTGATCTCCTTCCCGGAAGAAGAGCAAGTTGCCGGAATCCAGGACCATCGTATCCTGGCCCTCTCTTCGGATTTCAGACAGTCCCAAGATGTCCCACCGCATTTTGCTCAATTCTTCCTCCAGCTCGACAATCTTCTCATCGGTCCGCAGGGTGCGGATGTTATGTGTTGCCAGGGCCAAAGTTCGTCGGGGGTGGTAGCGGTTCATCTGCCGGGGATTCTTAGCACCCCCTGCTCCGCCGTTACCCGATCCGCTACCAAGATCAGGAATAGCGGAGCTGCCGGGGACTGGGGGCCGTGTATTTAGGTTGCCGTTCATAGTGAGGGGGGGGGGGTTTGCCATAATCCCCACGCTTGGCAGGCGGCTTGGGGATCGCAGTTAGGTCACCGATATATTTATGGAATGCTGCAGCCCATTCCTCGGTGTCTGGTCGCAGTTTTAGGACGTACCCGGGTCCTACGAAAACGGGTCCCCTTCTCTTACGAAAACGCAATGAGACTATTTGACCCTAAGGTGTAAAATCTTCATGGAACCTTCTCGCCTGGGGAGGATGGAAGGACCTCTCAGACTCTTACTAACTAAAACCCACCCCGGCTTCCCATCTCACACGTGGGTACGAGGGTGAGGGAGACATATTCTTCCGCAGCCTCGAAAACACGGTGGCCTGCCAGGCCCCACATCGAGGTGCATAGGGGAGGTGTCGATCTGCTCCATGCTACGTCTTGGAACTGCGGGTTGACTACTTCAGATATTACGAGAGGACTAATAAATCCTAAGTAATATAGATAGAACTCAACTATAAAAAAGCTGTAAAAGTAGCCCAAGGGCCCATACCAGGCCGACTACACAACTCAAAAATATTATCGAGTTTTACCTTTATACTGGAAACTGTTAGTATTTTTACAGATGCAATCTGGCATCTGACGCAGTTTTTTATAAGGAAGGAAGATATACCGCTTGTAACTTACATTTAACGAGTTAGTTTTTCAGTCAGAAAGTAATAAAAAAAGACGTTTAAACAGCAACTTCAATTGTGGTTTACAATAATATACTTATGTATTATAGGTCAGGTCAGGAAATACTTACATTTAGCTGCATTTAAGTAAAGAAGTGGAGATCGACCATTTAAAAGTTCAATAAAAAATATTTCTTCACACTGACATTTTTATTAAGGATACTTCACTTAAATACCAAAATAGGTAGGTAACTAAAGAACCGGCCACAGGAAACTTAATTTCGCCGAACGAATTTAAAAAAACAAATTATCACATAGCAAATGAGTTTCCACTCACGTCAGCGTCAAGGGACGGGTCTAAACTCTTCTAAACTAGACAAGTGAGTGACAGACTGAAATAAAGGCTGTACCTGACTCACGCGACCACCGCTTTCCTCTTACTCATTCTATTTCACAAAACTAAGGACTTACTAAACTTTGAACGTCGGGTATTGATACAATTGAACCTTTCAAGTATGTTGTTGTTATGAATAAAAAAAACAAGTTTTATGCTTAGCATTTATGGTCATGCACGTACGCAACTAAACGTATATATAAATTTCAGCTGAATCAGTTGAAGATATCAGCTTCATTTAGTTGCAACATTCTACTTCACACACAGGCATTAACATAAGTCAAGATATTAAACTAAGTCAAGATGATCTATCAGAATTATCTAGGTGATATATTTTTATGGAGTAGGGGGCAAACAAGCCGATGGATCACCTGATGGTAAGCTATCAGTGTCGCCAATCGACAACTGTAATACCAGAGCAGTGCGCTGACTCTCAAGAAATTATATTTCAGAGAAATAGTCTTAGATAATTATTATCTTAGACCTAGAAATCAGTTCAATCACTAGATTTTTTCATAATAGGTATACTAATACCTATTATGAAAAAATTGGAGTCAGTCAGAAATAGGGTAGATGCCTAATTTTTATTTTAATGTCCGTCTGGTAGATTATTTAAAATCATTAGACACGTATTTTTTATTTTCTTACAGAAACGAATACTTTCGACGATATATTGATTTGAAATGGCGATTGACGTCACTTCTATGTACAATTTATACGTAGAAATGGCGTTTTAGCCCCCACTCCTAAACTTTGATTCGTTTTATCTAAGTATTGTTTTATTATACGAAAAAATAAAAAATACGTGTCTAATATTTTTTCATTGCCTAACTTACGTACTAATAAGATTTTTAATTTTCATACC